TTCCTTTACCGTGCCCAGGCCCATTTAGTGCCTATTTATGGCAACCTGGTCATTAGCACTATAAGAACAAATTCAGCACAAAGAAAGCTTTAAACCACAGAATTGGGGTGTGCCTGGCTGTCAGAACGCTATTGTACCCTTTCCTCCTTGCCCTATCAAAAGACAAAAGCCGCATTTGATGATTGAAGACACAGAAACCAGAATAGCAACAGGAGCTCCTCCTGAAAAAAAAAAAAAAAAATGGAATTCCATACTTCCCAAACCCCACGTTTCTCCTTTCCTCCACATTGCTTGGTCCCGTTGGACCTCTCCACAAGGGGATCAGAGCAGGACTTTTCCCCAGTTTTCAGATCACCTCTTACATCCCTGGGCTAAGCTATTCCAGCAGTGTCAGAAGAACCTCTTACGGGAGCTATTTTTTTTTTTTTTTTTGCTGTTTTCAGACAAACAAAGGAGCAGGCAGATGATGTGAGATGTGGACAGTGTCAGGCAGGGAGCTGCTGCCACTTGCTGGCATCCCGTTATGCACAAGTGAAAAGGTTTTTTCCTTCTGCGTTTCTTCCCATGGAAGGTCTCAAGGAGGCACCTCCTCCTGAGCCCAGAGTAATTTATGGTTTCAGGTTCCCCCACAGCTCTCTTAGCACCCATGGGCCTTGCTATTGCACATTTCCTTTCATCTTCTCCCTGTCCCTATTCCTGGAGCAGAGCTGCTTAGTTCTAGCTCTAGAGCTAGGGGAAGACCAGATGCCTTTACCTCACCGAAACTCAGAGGCAGTGAGAACACCTGAGTTAACCAGATCTTTCACAGCTCTCCTTCTGAACTAAAACCAGGCTGGAACAGAATATTCATATGGACAACACGAAGATTGCCTCAGAGAGAAAAAGAACCTGAGAATCCCAATGTGAAAACATAATGCCCCAATAGGCTTAGTTTTAGTGAAAAAAAAATTGGAACAGCAGCTTGATCTTCCTTGAAAACACATGCACAGGCACCCATTGTATGTACCTGTATGTACATTATATATATATATTTATTATGGAAATGGAAATCCATACCTTCCTCAAAGAGGATGCAGCAAGGAGGGAAATATAAAAGCAAGTCTAGATCTTACCAGATGAGCCCTTTACTCCAGGTGCCAGACCCCGTGGATCCTTGGAAGATGCTTCACAGTTGGAAATGACCTCTTCTGGCCCCCACATTCCCTAGAAGAAGAGGCTTGGGGATATTTTATGGTTGACACAAATAAGCTGTAAGGAGGGGATTTGTGGCCCCCAGAAAATGCACCGCAGAATGACTGGGGAACACCTTTCTGCCTGGGAGGTGAGAGTTCTGTGGACCACATAAATGCAAGGGAACCCCATCCTGAGAAAGCTCTGTTTGTTTGTTGACCATCAGTTCAGCTGGAGATTAAATAAAGCTCAATTAATGCAGTCCAGTTATGCTTTCGAGGTTAAATTCTTGACACACAGATAAAAAATTATTACAGAAAGTCAATGGCTTACTCCATCAGAAGTCAAGGGAAGAGAGAGCATTTTAACTGCTAACTCAAAGGGGCCTTTTTACAAAACAAACCTTATAAACGAGTTGCTACTGGCTCCTTGCTCACAGCCTCCTTTGCTTGGCAGACCAGTATCACCCTGAAAAAGCCACAGAAACAATCTCTCAAACATGCCCTTTTGTGACCACAAATATCTATTTTCTGCATTCATTTGCAAATATCCTGCAATGTGTAGTCAAAATGATATTAAATGGACGTACTTGATGATCTTAAAGGTCTTTTCCAACCTAAGTGATTCTATAATTCTATGATTCTGTGTTGGAGTTGGCCTTTTATCATTGGGAAAATGTCAACTTATCTACATATAAATAATAAATAATGGCCAGTCTTCGCGAGCGAAGATCCGGGGAAGGTCTTTACACCTTCCAGCCTGCGCATTGGATTTTTTTAGGTGAGACACAGTGTGCGCGGAACTGAGCCCACCCTTTAATCCTAAGGTTCATCTGCCGGGGCCAAGCGAGCTTGGACGTAGGTGGGTTGCCTTTAAGGGCTAATGAGCCCCACCTGCCCGGGAGTGGCCCTGACCGGGAATCGAACCCGGGTCTCCGCGGTGATAGCACGGCGCCTTTACCCCTAGACCACCAGGGGCTCCAATATCTACATATATGTCTACATAGAATAACAGTGACTTTGCAAATGTCTTACCAGAAGCCTTCAGGGTCGTGGTGTCCTATAAATACATATCTACAGCAAACTCGCTCACAAAAATCTTATCAAAACCTTCCAAGCAGATTCTGATCAAAAAAAAAACAAAACAAACATCATGAGCCCTTCTTGCCTTTCACCTGATCTACAAACATAATGCCATCCTCTGAGTCACAGCAAATACTTCCTCTTTCTGTTATACTGATGAACTGAGCTCCCAATGAACACAGAATCCAATTAATTCCAAAGCCTTTTTATGAGTCAAATTCCTGCCTGCTTATATCACTACAGCCACCAAAACTTTTGCATGGTCAAGTGGCAGCCAAATGGAAAAGACACGGACTGAAATGGGATGGCAACCGAGGGAGAGAACAATACTCATCAGTAGGGATGACCACCTCAAGCTCCTTAAAACACCTCTGGAAACAGGACTAAATAACAAAAAAAGGACCTTGAAGTTTGAAACCCCTCAGGTTTATGAACCAAAACAGCAACACGAGGGAGAGGAAGGGGGCTGGTGTAAGTGAAGGAGAAGCAGTTTGTTGAGCCCTTGCCCAGAGAAAGCAAAGCCCAGAGTTCAGGGCTGAGGACAGCGAGGCAAAAGGCAGCATAAAGGAGAAGAGCAAAAGGAGAGGCTGTGTCCAGAGCCATGGCCACAACGTCAATGGGAGCAAGGCCAAAACGACACTAAATCTGCAGAAGTATCATCAAAATAGCATCCCCCTGACTGAAGCACCACGAGCCTGGGGGTCAGCTACGGGTCAGCTACTGTAGCCGAGTCAGGCGGTTCCCAGGGGATGTTCCAGCACATCCAGCTGACCTGGCTCTGGCTCTGTCTCCTGCTGTCGCGCCCAGTGCGGTGTCAAACCATCCAACAGGCCCACAGCGCCTTTCAGCGGGACAAGGGGATCACTGGGAGAGCATGTCTGGTGCAGCCTGAGCCAGGGGCCACGTACAGAGTGCCTGACAAACTACCCCTGCTCTTACCCTGCTGTATTTGCAGCCAAAGAGCCGAGTGTGTCCCTCCAGGCAGCGAGGTCTCCAAAGCAAAAGGAGTGGCTGAGAAGAGGAAAGTGTTCAAACTGACCCAAGGATGCTGCCTGTGGAGCTGACCAAGGGAGCAGAAATAGGAAATGGGGAGAAAGAATGATCAGTTTTGTGACCATTTTGTGATCAGTGTGATGATCAGATTTGTTTTACACGTGGAAGAGAAGAAATGGAAAGGGAGATAAGTTATAGGATGCTAGGATTGGAAATAGTCATTTCCATTTTTCCTCTATAACACACACACACACCCTTTCTGCCTCTTTTCCTAGGGAAACAAAGCACTCTGATTCCCTCCCCTGACTTTAATAACTTTTGAATTTATTGACCAATTCTGATTAAATACAGTAGGAGCCAAGGATGTCAAAGTCGACTTCATTCCTGTAAGAGTTTGTTGAGCCAGACAAGGAAGACAATTTTTTACTATTTGAGAGACTAATATAAACTCACCATTTACCAAGAAACAGAGAACCCATGGCTGCACAAGCCTCTGCAGGGGTGAGGAAGAAAGAGGATGAGGGAGGTGTCTGAACAGCAGTAACAACTCTGGCCAAGCTCATATGGTTGTGAACTCCAAGGCCAATCAAGCACCAGACACACTGTTGTGCTGGTGTGTGTGACTGGGAGACATTCTACTTGCAGTGACACGAAAGGAACTCTCCTTTTGCTTGTAAGTGGGATAAATTATCTTCTTCGCCTGGTCAGAGCAGCTCTCGTGGGAATGAAATCATCTTTGATATCCTTGCCTCTCACTGCCTGCCCTTTGTCCCTGGGGGCAGGGCCCTTTCCTGCTTCAGAAGCACAAGTGAGTGGGAGGTCATTTGACATGGGTGCTCTCCTCCTGCTTTTTGTGTTGGATACAGGCACTGCTGAAAACCAACCTGCACAAACCACCGGAATAGGAACGGAAAGAGTAACAGAATGATCATATGCCTGGTAGGAGGCCAAACCCTAACAGCACACAGCCTATAGGGGTTTGTTAACCTACTAAAACAGTAGGTTTTAACTCTTTCCCCACCAGCACATTCACACCCAGATTCTGCCACGACAGGTCAGTAAAGATTTATTCACCAGGTCTGCGGCACAAAGGGTAGGAAATGCTGGCTGGACACTGATGGGAGGCTGGGGAAAAGCACAGTAAACAGCAGCAAACCCTTGTGCTGGTGGTGAGCATAAGGGCTTTTGTGCTTCTCCTCTTGCTGAAAGCTCCAGTGGTGGCTATAAATCTTCTGCTGTCACTTGTGGTGGGTATTTACTAATTACAGCATCAGCACGTCTCGTACCAGTTGTGGGTCCTCGGGATAGCCTAGCAAAGGAGCAGAAATAGTTTTGCAACCAAGGCAGGTTGAAGGAATGAATGCCTCAGCACTGATCTCTCCACTGCTCTGGCAGCAGCGCTGGGAAGCCAAGGATCACAGTACAGAAAACAAGGATGTTAATTCTGCCTAAATAACAGACCGCGTTTCCTCCACCCGGCTGTTCTGGGGAGCTAATTACACACATTCCCAAATCAAAGAAATATGAAACAGTCTGCAAACGACTGCAATGTTGATGTGCTGGCAGTCCCAACCATGACATATGGTCCTTCACTTTGCATCCCAGAGAACAGGCTCATGAGCAACGCTCATTACGCAAAATTATGTCATAAATAACAGAAAGAGGCTGATTTTAGAAACGTACTTGAGGTGGCCTCCCTCCTTAGCCCCACGAGAAGACAGCCAGTGTTTCACCAGCGCTGCTGCCAGCCTGGTGATAGGTTCCCAAATGTACCTCCCTTGAGGGGGAAGGAAGGTGAATCATATCCAGGCAGGATCCCGGCTCAGCCTATACCCACACGCAAACTTTGCTGGGACAGCACTCAGGTTGCAAAGTCAAGATTTCGGCGCCAACACTCGCTGAGCCCCGCGTGCACCTGCGTGTGCCACCAGCCCTGCTGCGGGAGCGCTCCACCTGTGCCCATCGGCAGGACCTGGACCTCAAAATTCATCACCTGGACCTCCACCACGGACCTCATGGAGTAAGGGACGCCTGCACGGACCACCTGCAGGCCAGGAGGGCAGTGGGCTGAGACACGAGCACCACAAAGGCTTTCAAACCCGCAGCAGCCACCTGGAGGTTTGTCCATCTGCCGTCCCAGCCGAGGAGGTGAGCATCGCTCCCCGTGGCACAGGGTTTGGGCCATTCCCCAAAAACGAGACTCTCCTCTCTCCTCCTCCTTCACGCTGCCCTTGCCTGAGCATTTCCTCCTCCTCCACTCCAGCAGTGCCTCTCTTCCTACCTTTACAGCCTTTACCTGCTGCCACCACCCCACCTTGGCCTGCTCAGCCCCCCAGTTCATTCTCCATCCCCCACGGACTCCCTGGTGCTGCCCAGCAGAACCCCTGAGGACCAGACCAGTGCTCCTGCCTGGTAAGCACAGAAGTGATTTTTCCCTGTGCAAAGGTTAAGGACGGAGCTGGTTTGCTTTCTCATTACCCTTGGGACTACAAAACCCAGCTGCACAGAGCAGCATCCCTTCACTGAGCGCCTCAGGGCACTGAGATCAAGATTTTGGCCCAGGAGGCAGGTAAGCCCAGCTCCCCTGCCTGCATCCTCAAACCATGCTCTTCCTGCTCCATCAGGACCGCAGCGCAGCACGAACAGGCAGGGAGGAGTGTGACTGCACCACTCCTCCCTCAAGGTCATCATTTTGGGCTTGTAATCCTGGGCAATGGATTATTTTTATGTGCACAACACTTGATCTGGACACAAATCATTTGCTGGGGAGTTAATTAGTCCAGGAAAGGCTAAAGGGGCACAGTACCTTTGCACTTGCCTGCCTTGCTGCACACTGAAATCCCAAAATCTGGCATGCCAAGGGCCACTGGTTGCCCTCCCCTCACCCTGCCTGTGTTTTTCCTTCAAATGGGCAAACATAACTCTGTTAATGGCATAGAGGAAAGCTTGGAGAGGCCACAGGAGCATTGTGCCTCTTGGGATGCAGACAGCAGATAAACAGGATTAAGGAATTTTGCTTAGCTCAACCTGCCAATTTCTGCAAAGAGGAAATGTAGGCAGTGCCTGCAGCCCTGATTCAGAGGAGAAGCCTTTGAAATACCTGCCAGGCAAAACGTGTTAAGATACAAGCTGCTTTTCCTCCTTGACAGGGCACAGTGCAGGGAACAGCCCTCCCTCTGTGGAGCCCACCCTGCGCCAGGCACAGTTTGTGGAGCTCAGCCGGATGGCAGGAGCTCTGGGAGCCAGGCAAAGCAGTCCTGATCCTGCATCACAGGCTGGTGCTAGCACTGGGATTCAAACAGGGAAGTCCCCTGCAAGATACTCTGTTATGGACCAGACAGAAAAATTCCACTAGGAATTTGTTTCTCAGGAAAATCTTGATTTTTTTTTTAACCTCTTTTTGTTGTTGTTGTTGTTGTAAAGTGCTGAAAACTAAAATATTTGAAATGGGGTAGGAAGGGGTTAGATTTGGGATTTTCTTTAGAGAAAGTGTCTGCATTTTTCGGGTTAGTTCTGACACTTGGTCTCGCAGCAGCAGGTGTATTCTGCAGTGGTTAGGGCTTTGCCCTGCAGGAATATAACAGAGGGGCCACCCTGACATCAGATATCTCTGCCCTCAGCAGTCTTGCCCCTCAGGAAGAGAGGAAAATGTCTGTAATGTGCCTCTGCTCTGGGACAAGAGAAGCTTCCAGTGTGTCTCCCCAAAACCAGAGTCCTTAATATCCTCTCCTCGCTCCTGGCACCGGAGGATGAACGCTGATTCCTATGAGCTCTCTGTGAGCAAGCACACAGTGAAGCCTGTGAGGGCTCTGCTCGTTAAGCCTAAGGGGAAAATATTGGGAGAAAGGGCAGGAACAATGTAAAAATAAGTTGCTGCTCTGGGATCAGCTCCATGGAGCACCAGCCCAGCTCGTACGGCGTCACCGGGTGCCCTGTTGGTTCTACCACGAGTGGCTCTGCATTTTTGCCCCTCAAGTTTGGAAGAGAATGGTGCCTTGAAAGCACAGAGCCAGGTTTGCCCATTTTAGTGGAGCTGGGGAGAAGGGGGAGAAGAAAATCAGAGCAGAAACCAGCACAGCCGAAGCACTCCCAGTTGCACAGCCATAGGGGTGCTCTGACAGAACAGCAGCAGCATCCATCGTCCCAGTTGGAGGACAAGCAGCCAGAAATCCTCAGCAGAGACCTGGGGCAGGCACATGGGGACAGCAGCTGGCACAAAATGATGGAGCATGAGCATGGCAAAGACCAGCCCAGGGTTTTCGAGGCAGGACCAACACAACTCTTGGAAACACAAAAGCATGGACACACGGGGTGTGCAACAGGGTGTGTGTCCCCTGGGATGGGAATGAGACAATCAATGCAAGGGTGGTGGTGTGAGGTGTTGAGGATTTCCTTGAGTGCCCAGGGTGCTCATACAGGGTTTGGCCTTGTCCCTACAAAGGAGGGCAGCCCTTGGGCAGCTGCCAGCCATGGAAAATGAGGCTGATGTTCCTCAACGGGAGTTCCAGATTGGGAAACCCGGTCCCATCTTTGCCAGAAGGTTGAATCTGCAGCCCTTGCACCTGCAGGGCCAAATCAAACCCCAGCATATATAACCACAGAAAAAATGCTGCACTTCTGGAGTACCCATTTCTAACCAAGTCCAGCTAAAATGAAGAAAAATCTAAGCTTTTCGTTATTTTTTACTTTTAGGGTTTCTTTTTGAATTATTTTTTTGCAGGTAGAGATTCAGAAAAAATTTTTGCAAAGTTGGCCTGGACAACCTTCTGCTATAACTTACTCTTCTCTTGCACAAGTGTCACCCACCACTACCGAGTTACAAAGAGTTAAGTGAGGAGTCATGTCTGGTTTTTCCTGCGTCTTATCTGAATTTTATCTCTTTCACATTGTATCATATCTGTTCTATCCCTCAGGGTACTCCTGTCCTTGGATGAGGTTTCAGTGTGGCTGTTAAATCCTGTTTGGATGGACTTCCAGCCAGCCCCAGACAGCTGAAGGCTTGGCTGCACAGCACGTGAGATGGGACCATTTTGGAGCAGGCACGGGGAGAAGCTGCTTCTTCAGACGAGGTCTGGCAGTGTGGAGGGTTTGTTTCCCAAGCAGCCCTCCCCTTCCCAATCTCCTGGGCCTGGAGGGCTGTGGGCAACCTGCTTTGCTGTCCCACTCCACAGAGCCCTGTGTCCTCCCACTCGCCCAAGTTCACGGTCCAGCCACTGCAGAGCTGTTGTCTCTCAGGAGCCAGCAAGCACAACACCAAATCATCACGGGGTCGGCAGCACCCAGGCTGGGAGGAAAGTGGAAGACCTGGGGTGGAGAAAGAGAAAGGGGTGGTCCTGAGAAGAAACTCACCTCTACTCGTTCTTCTCTCTCAGGTACACTGTATATCAAGTTACATTATGGCTTAAGACATCAGAGATTGGCAAGAGAAGATGTAAGTTTGGAAGACCTGTCAAAGAAAAGTTTTTAAAAAAAAATCAAATATCCCACAGCGGTCCGAAGTAATAGCTCAGCTGCTAAAAAAGGTGGAATTAAATAGGTCAAGCTATAGAGCTGTGCTACTTTATGCCAGCCAAAGGAACTAGCTTCTCATCTGCTAGGCTGTTTCACGACTTGCTGTTCCAAGAATCCATCTCTCCACTAGTAATGATGTCAAATAAATCTTCACTAAAATGTAAAAATGTTTATGATGATACTTACTGACCCGTTCCTTTATTAAATGAGGACAATAGGATGATGCCTTGATATTTACTAATGGGTTACTCCCATCTAACCTTTTCTTGTTCATCCAGATCAGCTGTTTTCATTTCATCATTCAATGGCTGCCAATAAAATTAAGTCAATTAAATTAAAGGTCTATTATGTTCTTTCACATCAGGCTGAGGCCTGTTTTCTTTCTCCAGTCAATGCTCTGAGAAGATTTTTGGTAGGGCAGCTGGGAAATCTGGAGCAGATTCTCCTCTGCTGGAAATTGGTTTAGCTTTTCAAAAATCAATGGAGTAGCATCAGCTTACCCCAGCTGAGGGCCTGAACCCTGACGTGTAGGAATGAGCCTCAAGCCTGTCTTTGGGCCAAGATTCAGATCTGGAATCACTCCCTCATGCAATCTCAAAGACCTTGCCTACTTATCAAAGTGTTAGAATTTACTTATAACATATGTGGTGCAGTTACACCATCATCTCCTCCCTACTGAAATACCCCTATTCCAGTATAAAAATGGCCTTTTATATTTGACTTCAAATGTGAGCTATTCCCAAGAGGCATAAGTGAAATCAATAAAAGACTCTAATTTTCTTTCCAGTGTAGACAAGACTCTAATATCTCATTCAGCGGTCATTCAAATAAAAAAGCAAACAGAGGAGCAATGTTCTACATCCAAATGAAATCCCAAGCTCTAGCCTTGAAATGCCATTCAAGGATCTCAAGAACCAGTAGTGGGTATTGCATTATTTATTTACATTTATTCCCCTGCCTTACTGTGGGACAAATGCTTTGGGAAGAGCTGAACATGAACGTGGGATATGGAAGTGAGGGGAGCTCCACTGCTTCAAATATCCCCAGCGTGACTCGTGGCTGGTGTGGTCCCCAGTTCTGCCCCATTTTCTCTTATCCCACAGTGCCTCTGGCATGTCTGATAAAAACAGGACAGGGAATGGCCTCTCATGTGGTGAAGCAGGATGGATGTCCCAAGTCAGCCAGTGGGAGATGCTGGGATTGCAGCCAGGGACTGCGACCCATCCAAGGGAGGCGCCTTGGGGCAAGATGCACAAATTCACTTGCACCTCCTAAGTAGCTGCAACTGGGAGATAAGCCATTAGTGGCACTGGGAGCACAGCTTGGCAAGGTTTGGGGGCTGCAGTGTGAGACCAGGCTCTCAGCTTCTCAGGAGGCCTTGGACTGCAGCTTCCAGCAGCAGGACTTGTGGCCTGCCTTGGTGGAAACCCTGCACTGCGGCAAACATAGCGGGATGTGGGGATGGGGGAGCCCCTTCTCCAGGCACAGGTGATGGTAACTGCTTGTGCAAAAGGCCATGTGTTGGTAAATGGTCATGGAAGAGAGGAGAAGCTGCCAGAGAGCTGAGGAGAACCATGAGGAGACTTCTCAAAAGGTGTTGGGCTCTCCATCCCACAGAATCCTGGTGCCGAGTGAAGGACACCAACTGGAACAGGAGAAATGGTTTTCTCCTAGGGTGGGGATGAGGCCTGCCTTTCTATAGCCCAAAACAGCAGGCTTTGGGAAGACAAAGGCTATTGAATCTGTCTTAGAGGCTCACGTTGCCCCGAGACACATTTTTCTTCTTATGTTTTAGTGTCTTGTCCCTAATAATAAAGAAGGATTGCAGATCTTTTCTGTAAAATTCTAATAGGGATAGCAAAAATGTCAGAAATAAACCCATCCAAGACAACATCACCTAGCTCAGGGGACAATCTTCAATGCTTTTTTTCAACCTAAAAGGGGTGAACCTCCCTTAAATGCTCCAAATGCTTTGTCAGAAGTCATCTGTAAATTTTTTAAGTCATCATTTGAAACTCCATCTCAAAGAGCACGAGTAGAAAGTGTTTCGACAGCCTTCCTGCAAACTTGGTGGCAAGGTTAGCACAATCCCCACCAAACCCAGACAAACTCTGCTGTGAAAGGAAGGCAAACAAAGACCTGGAAGAGCTCCTTCAGAGGGGTTGAGAGAAGAGACAATGTTTACCCAAAAATCGTAAAGCAAACTTGGGAATTAACACTGAACAGCTTTGTGGGTATTTCCAAGTGAGAGACTTTGTAAGCAAAGCTTTATTTGACTCTCTGCTGTCACAAATTCAAACTGTGAAACCTCTCCTAACCCTAATTAAATCAAAATGTTTGACATCTTAGGGAAAGCTTTGAAGCACAGAAGGGCTTTCTATCAGCCAAAACTACAGTGCAGACCAGAAGTTCACACTTCAAAGTTTCTCAGTTTGCACCAGGCAAGCTCAGTAGTATAAACTACAAGGCAAGCTCACACAACAGCCAGCAACCTGTTTGGCTCTGAGAGTGCATTTCTCCAGGATAAAAGCTTTAAAGTGATCCATAAATTTCTAACTGCATGTAGAAAAACCTCTTTTCAGACCCTAGGGGCATGAAAATGAATACAAGACATATGGTCACACTGTGAAAAGGCAAAGCAGAAATATCCCTTGCGTGGTGTTGCAAGGGGGACAGGAGAAGAGTTCAGGGTCAGACCTCCCTCTGAGCTCATCCCTCTGTTACTGAGCAAGGGATGGACCTGAGATACCCTAAAGTTTCTTGCCACAGCAGTCCCTACTCAGGCTAGAGACTGGCTAAGGGTAGAAAGTTTAACACTCTCTGTCCTCAAAGAATCTTGTCATTCATTTATGGGCTTCCAACCCTAAACGGTCTCTGAAAGGATGCAAACAAGATTTGGTTGCCCATTTCCTCTTAATGACCCTGCTGTGTGCAGCTCCATCAGCTCTGTGCAGAGCTAATTTCTGCTGAACAATCACAGCTCAGCTGCTGGAAACCCACATGTCATCAATTTCAAGAACTGTGAAGGTGAGCTTCCTGCCGGGGGATCCACACCCCTCCTGTAATTGTCGAATTAATGGAATTACGTTGGGCTAAAAGTGATGCAAATGAAGAGAACACTTACTTGGCAATTTATGTGCTGCATCAGGAAAACCTTATCACTTCTGACCTGTCAGGGGGATTCTCTGTTTACTGACACCTTTGTAACACAGCAGTCGTTTTGATGAAATCCTTATGTAATGATTACATCAGGAGAGTTACACCACTGGGAAAAAAAAAAAACCAAACCACAGCATTTTGCATCTGTGCTGCACATTAGATACCAGCAATAATGACTTCCATGGTGTTATATCCCTGTGCAGAAGTGAAGCAGAAGAGCTCAGGTTCCTGCATTTTTGTCAAGGCAATGCATAGGTTTAGTTACTTCCATTCATTCACACTGAAGCAGCATCCTGAGGTGCTTTTACTGCATTCCAGCAAAGCAAGCAGTGTTAGTCACAGTGGGGCCACAGGTCACTAGTGTTTCTCATCAGCTGGATGCTGAGATCCACAGCCAGGAGAGCTTGGTGCTGGTGAAAGAGGAAGGGAAGGGGATGCTTATACCTGATGTGCTCACAGGAGGAACAGGAGCGGAATGACTTCTCCATATCCAGACATGCATCACGTCTGCAACTCACTGAATCACTCACAGGGGTGGGTTTTAACAGGAAGGAGAAGAATAAAAGCAAGAATAAACTTGCTAAACAAGGTAAGTTTATATGCAGCAACCTTTGCAACCCATCTACCTTTTCCTTAAAGGGACCTTTCTATCACCCAGGCAGCTGAGGAAAGATCCTACAGGGTATCCCTGGCCTCAGCTCTCTTCAGGCTGGAGCTGCCAAGAAGGTCAGTTGCCTATTTGAAGAGATCTGCCTTGGCTGGTCTCCTCCCTGGGCTCAGTCTGGGCCCTGCTGCTTCTGGCTGTGGGCACCTCTGTGTGGGGAAGGGAGCACTATCCCTGAAGGCTTTCCCCTGGAAGAGCAGAAAAAAATCCCAGCAGCTCTCAGCAGGAAAGCACAACTGTAAGAACAGAGAGCGATGACATAATGCAGGGATGGTGGTGGGCATCAGAGAGAGTCTGATTTATTGAGCAGGGATTATTTACAACCATATCCACAGTGCAGTGATGGAGCTGCGGCTTTCATGGGGGTGACATGTCTGAGCCCAGTTCTAACAGCCTGGGGGTTCCCAGGTCACAGGTCCTGGCTTTCCTTTCCTGCCAGGTAGACGTGACACCTGGAGTGCTTTTTGTTCCACTCCCCTTGTTTGCCAACTGGAAAGAGGAATTTTGTTGCGTGAATCTGGGAGCAAAAGCCAAGAGAACAAACAGCAAATATTGCAGGACTGGTAAAAATCACAAGAGCTGGCAGTACTGCCTGGGGTTTGTCTGTTTGTTACCCATTCTAGAATAATTGAGAGAGACTTAACCAGCCCGCTGGCACAGACAGGGACACACGGTGCCTTGTAAAACTCGGGGCAGAGAACAGAATGCAGACACAGAATTTCAGTGTGAGAGTCGTGTGGATCTAGTCTCTCTCTGTGAATGCCCTTATTCCCTGCTGTGTCCCCCAAACCCTGTGGATTTCAGCACAAACAGGTACTCCTTGAGCCTTCTACCAAACTGCAGGGGAAACAAAGTCCAAATGACAAGCATATGAATGAAGAAAAAGAGCTTATTAACTGCAGGCAGTCAACAAGTCAGTGTGTCTAGACTGCATCCAGTAAATGCTGCAGACCAGCTTTGATTCCCACTGCTCCTGGCATTTCAGTGGCCAGAAGCATTCTGTGGTGTAAACTTGTCCTTAGCTCACTCTCAGTTCTCTGTGACTCTCCCGGGACTTGTTTGATATAACACGATCGTCTCAGTGTCACCACAGTAAGGACCCATGAGCCACATCCTGTGTTCCTCAGGCATTTGGCACTTTCAGGACTACAGAAATATCCACTCCAAGGCTAACGACTCTCTGACAAAAAGTTAGAGATGCCCTTTCAGAAAAACACCACAGCTGGAGGCTTCAAGTTTGTTCTCAGGTCCAGAACTTTGAAACTCGTTCCCCATAGGGAGTCATGGTTCCAAGAAGGGCAACACTTTGCATTTTCTTCCTAGGAAGCCCTTTATTAAAAATGCCAAGATAAGCAACTTTCCAGGGAATCCCATTTCTGCCTGCTGAAGGGCAGCTCTGGTCAGACCTCTCCCCAGGGAAGCACAGCAAGCCTAACATCCTCCAACATCCGTGTCTCCTCTCTTTCACTCCAGTTTGGGTTACAAAG